ACTTCTCCCTGAAGTTGTGGGGTTTTTTTATATACTATGCAGCAAAATCCCTATTGCCTTTATAGTAAACAAACCCACATAAATTTTATAACTGTGTACTGTCCACGCATAATGATGTCCTAAATAGGAATTTCTGTGTAGATCATGTCCTCACCCTGTCCCAGGAGTTCACTGCATCACCATGTGTAACTGTGGCTTTCACTACCAAGGTAATAGAGTTTTTCCTCACACTACCTGTGGGATGGAAGTGTTGTTTTCCCCCTTATTTTACAATTGAGGCAATGACTGCAGTAAAGTTCTGTGACAAAATCAAGAGTGGAAAACAGCTCCTTAAACCAGAGGCTACAAGGTGCTGTCTCCCATGCTGACTCTGTGTCAGTGATACTGAAGTTCTCTCCAAGGTCAGAGCACCTTTTTTTTGCTCCTTGGTAGCTCCTCAGTTTCAGCTGGAACCTGTGGAGTGAGGAGCTGTGTGCTGAATTTTCTTGCAGACAAATCCTGGGCACACAGAGTACAAAACAAATGAGGTGTGCTGGGTTGACCCTGGCCACTAACGAAGCACCCACCTAGTTGCTCATTCCCCCACAACAGGGTGCAGGAGAGAATCAGAAGAGCTAAAGTGATCCTGGGTTGAGATAAAGACAGTTTGATAGGTGAAGCAAATCTCTGTGTGAAAGTAAAGCAAAATTAAAGAATTCATTCACTACTTCCCATCAGTAGGCAGGTGTCTAGCCACTTCCTGGAATGCAGGACCTCAGCACACATAGCAGTTGCTTGGGAAGACAAATGCCATAACCAGGAACATCCTCACTTCTTCCTCCTTTCCCCTGAGCATTTAATGTTGAGCGTGGCATCATGTGGTATGGATCATCCCTTTGGTCAATCTGTCTCTGCTGTCCTGGCTGCATCACATCCCAATTTCTTGAGCACCTGCAACCTATTCACTGAGGTGGCAGAGCGGGATAAAAGAAAACCTGGATGTCATGCAAGCACTGCTCAGCAATAGCCAAAACACTGGTGTGTTATCAGCACTGTTTTAGTGACAAAATCCAAAACACAGCACCATATGGGCTGCTAGGAAGAAAATTAAGTCAACCTCAGCCAGACCTAATGCAGGAAGAAAAAGGAAAACTTATCAAGCTGTTCTGAGGGAGGGATCATCTTTCTGTTCTGGGGCTGTGTACAGCATTTCGTGTGGTGAGATACTGATTTCTGTGTTGGGCTGTTACAAATAAACTATAATGGTTACACTCACACTGATAAGATTTTCAATGATGTTCATCTCAAAAATCTTCTTTGCTTGACTTGCCATTGAATATTGCTGTGTAAAAGAGAATCAGGAGGATTTGGAGATGTGTTTCACTGTCTGTTATCAAGATGAAACCCAGTTTCTGTATCAGATGGAAGCAGGGCAGGGTGAGAATCAGCAGCAGCCTAGCAAATCCATCTGCAATCTCTGGTCAGCTGGGAAACTGTCAGGATTCTGCAGTCACTCTAGTTTTGCCGTTTGTATTTCCAACAGAGAGATTAATAGCATGCCTTTGAGTTGACAGGGCAAAGGCACAAGAGGAAGGTGGATCTGTGAGGGAGTCCAACTGTCACCTTCTTTTTTGTAGGACATAATGAACTCTACTTAATTGCATGAGACCTGGAAAAGAAGTCTATTGTATGAAAAGCCATGAAGCAACACAGGTGAAGTCTGGAGGGGTCTCCAGATGATTGTGAACAAGAAACGTTACAGAGATAGTGAAGTGGCATGAAAGGTACTGTTATTTAAAAGCCCTAACAGTTTAGGGATTTTTTTTTCCACATAAATTGTATTATTGATTTCTATCACATTGTCACACCATATGGTGCCTCATCCTCCAGTTGTGGTTAATAGCTGAGAACAAGTAGCTTCAAATGTTAGCTCCATGACATGCAGCAACCTAACTAGCCATGTAGTTTATTTCCAGGGGCAACACTAATCTTGGAGATGAACAGCGTTTTCCTCAATTTCTTTTATGCTGTCTGCCTCATGCAGTGGATCTGATCATAGTGTCATTACCAGTAATGATCATGGTATCATTGAGTGCTTTCTCATCAGGATGTAGGTACACTGCCCAGTAATTGCACTGTAGCACTCTTCTTGCAGCAGAACCACAAAATACAAATCTGGAAAGAATATAATATGGATAAAACTAAACAGAAGTTGAAATAAGATAAGGAAAATCCTCACTTGACCCACTGCTAGATCTCAAGGAGATATTACAGCATAGGCTCATCCTCCTTTCCTCCTCCTCACACTATGATTTGCACTGTTACCTGCATCCTCTGCATGGCTGGATTCCCCAGGTAACATGCCCTGGTTGCTTGTCTTGAAAACAGCTCTCTCTGTGGATGGGAAAATGGGGAAAGTTCATCATGACTGAAGTATGTGGTCATGTGGAAGCTGTCTGTTTTGGGAGACATCTGCTCTAAGCGGTGGCTGAAAAATAGGGAGACAAGAAAACATGAAGGGAAAAAGTGCTGGGACAGCAGGGTGACATGGGCAGAAACACAGTTGTCTGCTGACCCAAGAGAAGTTGGTGGACTCAACAGCTAGTGGATTTTGTGGTGTCCAGATATGATCTGTAGATACAGACAGTTTATAACCTGATATTATTTACAGTAAGGGTTACAGAGCGCAGGATGAGAACAACATAAATCTTTGTAACTAATGGTTCCATGAAATCATGTGTGTTGTCTGCAATCAGCTGAGCAACCCCAGTTGCTGCCATCTTCTGATTTCACTTGTGGGCTTTTCAGGTTTGATTGTAAAGCTACGGTACTAGGTCTGATGCACAGATATAAAAATATGAGGATTTTAAGAGTCTTGTTTACATTTATTAAAACTTTATTAATTAAAAAAAGGGAAAACATTTAGTCATCTGTATGAAAGGATCAAGTCAGATAATCTTCCCTTATAAAACTGAGATGTCAACTGAGATTTTTACTTGTAAGACATTTTCATTATCCTGGCCTTGAAATCTGTTCCCTTACTCCCTTTCTGAAAATCGTGCACACTGGAACACCCTTGGAGACATGCCTGTAGGAGCTGGCCAGTTTTCTTTGCCTCTATCGCTCTGACCCTGTTGGATTACATGTGTGTTTCCTGGGCAAGGGGTGCTACATTTTCCTTCTTTGTAGTAGTAGGTGTCCCAGGAGAGCTCTTAGCTTCAATGTATTCAACCGCTCCATACGTCACCATAGACAACACAAGCACAGACAATAAAATGTACAGTTTGATGTAGACTTGCAATTTGGTGCTATAACCAAAGGCAATGACAAATCCAAGTGATTCCCAGAGACGATAATTGGCAAAGGCAGCTTCTTTGTGTTTCTCGAATAAAATGCCATAGAGTCCTAGAAGGCAGGAGAGACACATCGTGTGAGACTAAGTATGAAACCATCTATTTTCTGCAAAGGGAATAAATGGTCTGCAAAGGGGAAGATAGACCCTCTCTCCTGAATGTCAGTGAAAGGAAAATTGAAGCTTTGTATTAAAACATTTTTGCACTCCTGTGGCTCCTTGTAAGTGAAATAACAGAGCAAAAATTACAAAATAGAGAATATTGGAGAAAAAGGGAAAGAAAATGGGAGAAAGGATGAAAGGGTGAGTGAAGTAGGATGTCAGAAAGTTTATTTATCAAACTATTGGCTACAAAAGGGAACGTTCTTGTGCTGAAAAGTGAGTAAGTGAGGAGGAAGAGGTGGCTAGAAATGGCTCTTGACATGGTAGAGTCTCCAAGTATAACTACTGAGAAGGTTATAGCAAGTCATCACAGACTGTCAAAGAACAGTTGGTTTTGTCTAGGGACAACATGGCCCTTAGCATCCAAGATGCTCTTTCAGTGTAGGGTAGAAAGGATCAAGGAACCATAGGAACCTCCCTGCTGCCATCCTTACCCACTTTTGGGGAGAAGTTGCATGAACCCTGCATGCACTGCTTACCTGTTCTTCAAACCATTTCTTTCACCTGCCTAGGAACAGGCAGGGAATGTTCATGTAAAATGCATGTCCCTTGTTTTCACCAAAGTTTGGCCTCAGGGAGCCCCCAGCTGAGGCTTGCACAGCGTGTTGGCAATGGTAGTAGTGTGTGCTATTCGTACTTGCCAAGTTAAGAGAAACAAACTGACTTAAATCAGAAAGCTGAGGAGAATGCTACAACTGAGCTCAGATTTAACATGCAGAGAAGATTTGACTCTGAGATAACGAGGTTTTCCAATTTTCAACTTCTGGATAGGTTGACAAAAAGCATATCCTTGCTGTATACAGAACCTCTGGGCAGCAACTGGGATACTTGCTTGACACACAGACTGAGTTAAACTGATCGTCCTGATGCAGTCATGTTCATTGGGAAGTTCCCACTGAGTTCCATCAGCTGCACACTCACAAGTGAGATTCAGGGAGGATTTCCCAGCCTCCAGGTCTAACTGGTCGGGCACACAGGGAAGTGGAGAGAGCTTACTTTCGTCTGTGTGCTGAGCTAGCATTGGTGGTGATAAAGAAGAGGATGTTTCCACTGACTCAGTTGTGGTGTGCAGGGAGGGCAGGGGGATACCATGAACCTTGACTTTCCTCATCCACTTCTCTTTCTAACAACACATCTGTTTGAAATAAGCACATTCAGCCAAAAGGCACAGAGGAGTACGAAGTTCTCTAGAAATCTGGGTAGGTGTGTGGGTTTTAGTTGGGATGGATTTAATTTTCCTCACAGTAGGTAGTATGAGGCTGTGTTTTGGATTTGTGCTGAGAATAATATTGATAACATACTCATGTTTTTAGCTGTTGCTAAGCAAGGTTTATACCAAACCAAGGGCTGTTTCTGTTTCTCATACTGCACCTGCATTCCCATCTTCTTCTCTCCAAGAGGCTGGGAGGGGACACAGGCAGAAGAGCTGACCCAAACTGACCAAAGGGATATTTCATGCCATAAAATGTCATGCTCAATACATAAGTTGGGGAGAGTGGGCCAGGAGTCTCTGTCTCACTGAGCCTGACTCTTCTGGTCTGGTTCTCAGGGGTCTGGCTCTGCTGGTTTGCTGGCTTTTGGGGATCTTGGGCTCTAGCTGTCTCGCTCAGGCTCTGCCTCTTGCTGCTCAGGGACTACTGGACATCGGTCCATGGGTGGTGAGCAGTTGTATAATTTGTTTTCTTTTCCATTATTTTCATTACATAGTAGTAGTAGTAGTATTTTCATTACATATTATTAGTATCAATATTACTATTATGGGTATTGTTAGTATTGTTGGTATTGTTAGTATTATTAATATCATTATTTTATCCCATTTATTTTCAATTATTAAATTGTTCTTATCCCAACCCATGAGTTTTCTTGCTTTTTCCTCTGATTCTCCCCACATCCCACTGGGGCAGGGGGGAGGTGAGCAAGTGGCAGTGTGGTGCTGAGTTGCTGACGGGGTTTAAGACATGACAGTAGGCTCAACTAACTCTTCATTTCTGTTAAGAAAGGGGAGACATCATCTATATGTAAAAACTTACTGCATCCTGATGACCATGAGGACATTTACTGAACGTTTCAATTTAGACTTGATGGAAAATCTGTGTAAGTGCATCACAAGATGTACTTAGTTCATTAAACTGTCTAAGTGTAGTGTAATGTGAACTATTTAATAATCCTTCATAGTTTTGCCTAATAAAGGAGCAAGTACAAGTTGTTCATATAACTTTGCTGATATGCTCTGTGTTATCTTCTGAAAAGAGAGTTTAATGTAAGAAAGTTTCTGATGTCATGACAATTCTATGTGTAAAGATTCTGTCTTTCAGCTGGTACCTATTTTCTCTTGCTATTTTTAAGCCTTTTTTTCAATCAAAGCAATGGGAGAATTGAATGGGGATCTAGCCATAGGAAGGGCTGACTTGGTAGGAAAGTTCTCATTTCTAGGATGCATATATGGTATCAGCCACCATTAGATAGGACCACAATGGTGCTTTTGCCTCAAACCTAGACATTTGTTCTTATCACAAACTCTTGGGTGCATTGTGGTGCAAGTTGCCTGGCTTAAGCTTTAGCAGGACCTACCAAGCTGAATGGAGAGACTGCTAGGTCTGAATTCTTGAGGCTCACTTCCATGGAAATTATCCTCCCTATTTACCACTCCTTCCCCTGGTATTAGTAGGCATGGCTACATAACAGGGCTGCTGGAAATCATTTGAGTCCAGGTTTATAAACTGATTCATATCCTTCCTAAAGATGCACATCAGCCTGGAAAGAACTTCATTTTACTGTAGTCTACCCAATAGCTCTGTGCTACATAACTGTTACACCTCATGTGCACTTATTGCTGGGGAGATAGTAATAGCACCTGTGTTCAGGTTAGAGGGCACTACGCACTGTGAAATATGCAGTTTTCACTGGAAATAGATGAGTGTCCACACACGTACACAAACATATTAGGAAGCCTTTGTAAGACCCAAGTGCTCATCTACTGAGAGCACTGTGTACATATCCTCTAGGGGGAACTCCAGCATCAACAGTTTGCAGCTAGCGGAGGAAGCTATCTTCCATTGCCATGGAATGCCTCAAATATGTGGCACCATGCCACTGTATTTGTTCAGTGTTAATCTACTGAGGCCCAAGCAGCAGTCATGGGAGCTTGCCAAAGGAAGGACCACAGACCTTAGTCCCTCTTGCTGTTTTAGGGGCTAAATGGGCATGTCAAGCTGAAGATCCTGTTCTGGTATGTGGCATTATGGAGTAATGTCACTGCACACCTCTGTTAAGGTTTCATGTCATCACTCGATGTTACAATGTGACAATGTGACAAAGCAAACTCTGTATAATTTTATAACTGGGAGCTGTGGAATAGCTGTAAAAGGCACAGGGAAAAAAAAAAAAGGTACCGTGTACTGTGCAAGCATGCACAACATTTTTTTTTTTTCCCAGATGACACAAATGTGAAATTTTCACAAGTATCCTGCAGGAATCTGGGAGTAGCGATGACCTGTAACACTGCTGTAATAGAGGTCAGCCTTGTCACAGGGCTGCAGAGCTCATTTGCCATCAAGGAAGCATGAAGCTTTGTCCATGCCTCATCTGGGAGTTGGGAACTGTCATGTTCTTTGACACTTGGGTCTTCTGTACTTACCTCAGTTTTCCTAAAGTGAGCACCAGGTCCATCTTTGTCAGGCATGCAGGGACCTTACTGAGGAGATGTCCTTCTCAAAGGACATTTCATATGTATGTAAATCCCTGAAGAGAGTGTGCAAAGAGGAAGGAGCCAGGCTCTTCCCAGTGGTGTCCAAGAAGAGGGGACAAGAGGTGATGGGCACAAACTGAAACACAGGAGGTTCCTTCTGAACATCTAGAAAAACTTTTACACTGTGAGGGAGAATGAACACCCACACAGGTGGCCCAGGGAGGGTGTGGAGTCTCCCTCCCTAGGGATATTCAAAAGCTGACCGGTCATGGTCCTGTGTAACTGGGTCTGCCTGGGTAGCCCTGCTTGAATAAGGGAGTTGGACCAGGTGATGTCCAGAGGTCCCTTCCAACCTCAGCCCTTCTGTGATATTGAAAGAAGCCAGGTGTCTGAGGGCAAGGCTTTCTGGAAAAGAGAGAAGCGGGATAAAGGACAAGTCCTTTATCCCAGGGGAAGACTAAGATATGGCTCTCAAGGGTGTTGGGAAGAAGCTTGATGAACAATGAAAGAAGACTGTGGTTGAGGAAGCAGGAAATGAATGAGCAGCTTTACTTCAGAGGGAGCAAATCCTCACTGATATTGTCCTTCCATGAACCTGAATAATGAAAGCGCTGGCTTAAAATTGTACCAAAGGCACAAGGCTGTGGGTTGGAATGAGAGAAGGTGAGAGGGTGTCCTTTGATGTATGCATTAGCTCTCTTTTAAGGGATATGAGCTGGAGCTGCTGGAGGAACCGAGAAGAACGCTGGCTGGCCAGTTCCTTAGGTGTAGAAGCAGGGACACTACATGTGCTTGAAAGGAGGCCACTGTCAGCGCTGGGCCAAGGGCTGCGGTGGCTGCCCTTTGGAGGAACATGATAATTTACCTAGTGAGTGAAATCATCCTGAAGCACTGAAGCAACCAGATGGACTAGAGGGAGGAAGGGAGATCAAGACACATAACCTGATGTGGGCACAGATGAACTAGTTCAGTCACGTACATATTCCTAAGGCATCTGCCAAATATGAGTTTCAGATAGAGGAAAACAATATTCATGAAATAAGAGGCAAAATACAGGAGCAGATGGGAGAGCATTTAACTGTCTTACTGACACAGGCTATGGTATTGATTTTAAAAGAGTGTGACTGACAGTCATGAGCAGACAAGACATCACAGATTATAGCTTTTTCTTGCCCTCTCCAGCATTTTAGAGTCTGTCTTTCGTCTCTGCAAGAGACCTTCCTCTAGTTTTGATTGAGGGATAAGTTTAAATAATCCCTTACAGAAGTCAGTTTGTAACAGCTCATTATCTGAACTGTCAGTACATAATGATTGCACGGTATTACAAAGCAGAAGAACATGAAAGTTTATAAGAACAACTGTAATGCATCAGATAAGTCCAATGGTATACTTCCGGTAACAGACTCCTAGGATAAGAAGATAAGAAATGGGGCAAGTATATGGTGATCTTTCCCTTGAAATGCCCTCCTGACTCTGGCAATCAAAGACATAAAGACTTTCTGAACTGGAGGTTTCCTCTGGACCAGCAGGCTTCAGTAGCCCTCAAGAACATTTTGCCCTGAAATGATGTAATTCCAGCTTAAAAACATTCACATTTTGGGCAATGAATTACATACTTCGAGTGTGCATTATGTGAAAAAAAGCTTTTCTTTTGATTTCTATAAAGCCTGTTGCTTGATAACTTTATTTGGTGCCACTGGTTCTGTTATTAATAGAAATAGAAAATTTCTTATCACCTTCTCCATATTATTAATTATCTTACTGGCTGCTTTCCTTACTTATCACTTGTCCAGACTAAAGTGATCTAGTTTGTTCATCTTCCTTAAAGTGGAAGTCTCCCATGACTCTGCTCCTTTTTATTGCCTTCTTATGCCTAATCACTTTGTATTATGATTTTTGGAATGGAGCAGGTCAGAACTGTATGGATTTACTTGGCTGCATAATTTTGCTCTCTGTAGTTTTCTCCTTAGCTTATTTTTTCCCCCCTTTCTAATAACTCCTAACAGCCAATTTTCTCCTTTTGTTGCTGAGCTTTGAGTTGATTTTTTACCCAGAGTGCTCTCATTTATTGCAAAAGACAGACTAAATGTATAATTCTTCTTAGGTTTCTAATTTTCTTTGAAATACTTATACTCCTTCAGAATATTTATTCTGAGTATCCATTTTCATCTTCTGCAGTGTTTTCTCTTCATCTTGGAAAAAAATTGTTTAATGAGTATTTTACTTTCTTATTCCCAACTTGTTCTTATTTATTCTATTTTCCAATGAGCTAACATATTTCTTTTAGATGCTGTCTTAAACCCATTATCATTTTTATGCACGTGTTCTTTTATAAATACAAACCAGCAGATTTCTATATCTCAAAAGAATACATTTCATTGTCACCAGGACTTACCATTAGTTTGTGTCTGCCAAATGGCATCAGATAGGCCCCAAAGAGCAGGGAATACAAAAAACACGGCAAGCTGCTTAGGCTGAGGTTTCCACAGCAATAGTGCTATTATACAGGTGGTGTTCGTAACCGTGGCTGTTGATTTAGAAAGAAAGAAGAGAAATATACATGCAATTACCAACAGGACAGATAGTGGTAGATAACACTTTCAAATTCTTTCCCCAAATACAGCACAAGGCAATATTAAAATCTTTCTGGTTCACTGATATTTGTGCTGAGTGAACTGCTGTTACATGAAATATGAGAAAATGGAGTCCTTTGGCAGTCTTCAGTTAATAATTTTGAGGAGAGTCCTAAGCTGAGAGATCCTCAGCACTGATACAGCTGTTAGCCCAAAGGACATGAACTGCTACTGAGTAGGAGAAGGGGCTGCTGAAATACTTGCAGTCTTCATGTAAGGCATTTGGGAAGAGGGAGAAAGCACCCATCTGCTCTCCATACATAGTCCATAAAAGTAGATTTCCTTCCAGGGTCAGAGGAGACAGTTAAGGATATGTAGAGGGTCTGGTGGCTTTTTGGCTTTCTTTTCCAAGTTGGTTTGTAAACGAGTCACTGATTCCTCCCCCACAGGCGCACCTTCACAGGCTGAGTACAATGACCATTGAACAGAACTGAGAGGTTCAAAGGTCTTGCATTACTAACTCTATAGTTTTGTTGTTGTCGTTGTTGTTGTTGTTATTATTATGGTGATGCTTATTATTATTATGCTTGTGGTTTTTAAATCTAAAATGAGTTTCATAGAGTGAGACATACACCTAGGACAGACACGTGCAGAAGAATCATAGAATCACAGAATGGTTTGGGTTGGAAGGGACCTTAAAGATCATCTAGTTCCAACCCCCCTGCCATGGGCAGGACACCTTCCACTAGACCAGGTTGCTCAAAGCCTCATCCAGCCTGGCCTTGAACACTTCCAGGGATGGGGCATCCACAGCTTCTCTGGGCAACCTGTTCCACTGCCTCACAACTCAAAGAAGAATCATAGAATCACAGAATGGTTTGGGTTGGAAGGGACCTTAAAGATCATCTAGTTCCAACCCCCCTGCCATGGGCAGGACACCTTCCACTAGACCAGGTTGCTCAAAGCCTCATCCAGCCTGGCCTTGAACACTTCCAGGGATGGGGCATCCACAGCTTCTCTGGGCAACCTGTTCCACTGCCTCACAACTCAATCCATGAAGAATTTTTTCCTGATATCTAATCTAAATACACCTTCTCTCAATTTAAACCCGTTACCCCTTGTCCTGTCACTACAGGCCCTTGTAAAAGATCCCCCCCAGCTTCCTTGTAGCCCCTTCAGGCACTGGAAGGTGCTATAAGGTCTCCCCGGAGCCTTCTCTTCTCCAGGCTGAACAAGCCCAACTCTCTCAGCCTGTCCCCATAGCAGAGGTGCTCCAGCCCTC